CACTGTTTTGGATTTTTTTGAGGAAGAACGCACTTGCAGTGTGGATGTAACTCAAGTGGTGTTGGAAAAACGGCCATTTTTCTCACAAAACTTTGTAGTCTAGACATACCCTAGGGGGTAAAGGAAATCGCAGCCCACTCTCTGCTGAGATGACATGCCTAAGGGAAGCCCGCCAGGATGGAGGCTTGCGTGATGTAGACACATCTGCACTAGAAATTGGTCTGAGATCTCCTAGTTCATTCCCAGTAGGCTGCCAAAGAGTCGTGGGCAGATAGCTCCTTGCATTGGCCAGCTCAGTTATCATTCAGTGATAAGAGCAGAGGATGTGCTGACATCATTCCTGGGAAAAGCAAATGTACTCAGCCGGATCTCTGCAGGGAGCCAAGAAAGGACATCTGTTCCTACTTTCGGCTTCTATCATCTGAGCGTGTGATTAAGAGTCTGATCGACCAAACTCAATTTTGCTGGGCATGGCTCTGGATTGATCACATCGGAGTGCGTGATAGGGCTTGGAAGAATGCAAGGAGCGGGCAGAGGGGGGTTCAAACTTACAAAGGGGGGTGTCAAGGCCGATGAGGGGTGAGACCGTGAGGGTGAAGGTGGGCTGTATGGCACCATAGTTCACAAAACTGGGAGGGTGTTGGGGAAATTCAGGGGGGGTATACACTGCCACGGGGGGGGTGTAAGGAGAAGCAGATGAAAGGAAGTCAAAAAGCTCATTTCCAGACAACGAACAAAGCCCCCTGGTTGGGAACACATAACAGATCGATCGTGGACTACTCCTTTGTGGATACTCAGTCCCCTCTTACCCATGGAACTGATGAAACATCACAAAGCCCGCAGGCGGCGGGGCGGGCTGGAGAGGAGGAGGGAAAACTGAGGCACAGAGCAGTTAAGGTGGCTAAAATTAAATTGTCCCAGTACACTAGCCCTGACAGTAAGGAAAGGTGCCTTAAGACAGACACAGGAACAAAATGCTGGAGCCCTGACTGACCCCTCCACCCCCATACTCAGACTGACGTGTAACTGAACCCCGGGAGCTGCGAATGGCTCTTTAATGCATCGCCTGCAGCTCTTTGCACGCGCATGTGATTCACTAACCACCAGTCTAAACCATCAACCAAGCCAGATGCTTTTACTAGGGATGTGAAAGGTTAACTGGTTCACCAGTAACCAGTGGGGGCTGGAGCAGCTGTCCACCTGGTACAGGTAAGGGGCTGCTCTTGTTCGGGGTAGCCCCCCCCATCCATGGTGGGCCTGGGCACCTCCCCAGGCAGGGGCTGCTCCCACAGAATAGCCTCGGTCCGCAAGGCGCCCATGCCCTCCATGGACGGGGCTACTCTGGGAGCCAGCAGCCAGCCCCAACTTGGGGCTGGGAGCTACTCCAGACAGGCTGCAGTGGTCCCCAGCCCGGATCCTGCTTAGTTAACCAGTTCAAACGCTAGGGTAATCTAACCTTTAATCGGTTAACTGATTAACCAGGATTTTACCCCCTTCACTTTTACCAAGTTATTAGCCACCTGTAATTAATAAAATAATCATTCTAATGTCAGCCATTTTGCTATGAAAATAGACAACGAACGGACATCGCTGTTAACGCAGAGCACTAATCCGGCCAATCCACGGAGGTCTGAGTCTTGGTTTTAAGTTCACTTTGCTGCAACAAAATTGTACTTCAAGCCACGGATGATGTGGGCTTTGGCTGCTGCTGGCTGGCTTCCCCCGTGCTCCTCTGGCTCCCCCTGGAGTCTCTATGGGTACGTCTAGACTACAAGCCTCTTTCGAAAGAGGCGTTTTTGAAAGAATCTGTCGAAAAAGCCTCTTTCGAAAGAGCGTCTAAGACTCAACCTCTTCTTTCGAAAAAGTGAGCTGCTTTTTTGAAAGAGAGCACCCAGGCAGTCTGGATGCTCTCTTTCGAAAAAGCCCTGTTCGCATTCAAGAACACCTTTTTTCGAAAGAGCACTTTCGAAAAAGGCGTTCTTCCTCGTGAAAAGAGGAGTACCGCCGTCGAAAGAAAAGCCGTGT